AGATGCTCTGTGGACCTTCCCCACTTGGTAGTTGCCTTGAAGCCCACACCTGGTCCAGAAGAGCACCTGGGACTTGACTGCCTAGGGAAGACCCCTCAGCCTCGAGAGAGGGAGCGGGACTCAGCAGCGTGGACAGCAAGGGACTTTAATGTGTCCTGTGTTTCAGGGGTGACTGTGTGTGTGTTGGCCCTGGTCACACTCCAGCCTGGAACCCCAGGCGACACCCTCCTGATGACCCGGCTGGAAAAGGACACCCCCCCAGTCACGGTGCAGATCCCCACGGCCCACAGCCAGGTAGGATGACCCGGGCCAGGGAGTGTCACTGCAGCTGGGGTGAGCCTCATGCTGCTCACGTGTGGTGCCCCATGGCTGGGCGGATGTCTCACTGGCCCGTTTCCCAAAGCTGCCTCTGAGTTTGGCCCTGAAAGAGTTTGACGCAATCCAGAAGGAACAGAAAGACAACAGCAGCTGCACTGACAAGCGGGCGTGGTGGATGGGGCGGCTGGAGCTGGACCGCAGAATGGAGGTATGTGCCATAGGTGTGACCCGTCTCTGTCAGACGTCCTGACAGTGCTGTCTATTTCCGGCCCTTACTTCAAGCACAGGCCTAAAAAGAGCTCAGTGACACTTGGGGAGGACTTTACGGAGGAGTTCCCAGGCAGGTGTTTGGTGCAACAGTTAAGACGCTACTTGGGGTACCTGCATCCATCTTTGAGTGCCTGAGATCCAGTCCTGGCCCCACTTCCAATTCCAGCTTCCTGCTAATGTGCACTTGGGGAAGGCAGCAGGTGATGGCTCACATGCTTGGGCAACCTGAATGGAGTGCCTGGCTTCTGGCTTTGGCCTGCCCCAGCCCTGACTGTGAAGGGCATTTGGGGGGTAAACTGCTGGGTAGATCTCCCTTTGTTTCTCTGCCTTTCCAACAAAGGCACAAACAAGTGGCCAGTAGAAGCAAAAGCTGTGGAACTAACACTGGAGTTTTGTTTTGTTTTGTTTTGTTCCCTTCAAAGATTTACCCATTTATTCAAAAGTTGGAGCTACAGAGAGAAAGGACAGGCAGAAAGAGATCTTCCATCCACTGGCTCACTCTTCAGTGGGCCACACCAGCCAGAGCCAGACCATGCCAAAGCCAGAAGCCAAGAGCTCCATTAGGGTCCCCCACGTGGGCCGTAGTGGTCCAAGGACCCTGACCATTCTCAGCTGCCCCTCCCACGCCACTAGCAGGAGAGCCAGGTCAGAAGCAGGGCAACCAGAACACATTAGCACCTACACAGGATGCCAAGGTCACAACTCAGATCTACACCCACTGTGCCACAACAGCAGCCCCTTGTGTGTGGGTGTCTTTAAAATCCCATTGCCATACCCCTTTAATGTCTGGGGCTCTTTTATGTAATTTTGTGCAGTAATTGACCTTTATTCCCCCAGAATCTCAGAAAATGGCACAAAGCTGGGTCAGACAGAATACACATTGGATAAGCCCTTCCTGCTTCCCCAAAAGGCCAGGGCTTGGGGTAGACCAGGCGTCCTTGCTGAGCCTCTGCTTCCTTTCACCCAGGTTCTCATCACTTCTCTGGAGAAGTCCGTGCTGGGCTGCTGGCGGGGGCTGCTGCTGCCCACCAGGGAGGAGCCCAGCCTGGCCCAGGAGGCAGCCCAGCTGGCCAAGCTGCTGCAGGAATGCGGCTGGAAATACCCAGACCCCACTCTGCTGCAAGTGAGTCCCGAAGGCAGGACAGGGGGAGCGGCTTCCTACGGCCACCACGATCCCAGGTGGGCACAGGAACGCTGGGACCTGCTAACCACCTTTCTCCGCAGGTCCTGCTCAGTGGGGCCAGCATCCTTACCTCCCAGGACATTCAGACCCTTGCTGCTGGACTGTGCCCAGCCCAGCCCGAGCGAGCCCAGGAACTCCTGAGTGCAGCTGTAGAACGCCTACAGGGCCAGGCAGTGCCAAGCAGTCGGCACCTAGTCCTGGTGCTGGACAAGGTAAGGAGCTGACCAGAGGGTAGCATCGCGTGGCCAGTAGCCCCGTCTCGCCCCTCCCAACCTCCGTGTGCACTTAGCTGGCAGCGATTTGGCAGAGTGCTTTATTTCTTGCCCAGGACCTCCAGAAGCTGCCATGGGAAAGCATGCCCTACCTCCGGACCCTGCCTGTCACCCGGCTGCCCTCCTTCCGCTTCTTACTGAGCTACTCCATCATCAAAGAGGCAGGCATCGGGGTGGAGCCTAGTGGTTACTGGCCGTGGCTGGGGAAGGGGTTCTGGAAGAGCTTGGTGTTGGTTGGGATCTGGGCTTCCTGGGGTGCCCACGGTCCTGATTACCCGTATCTGCCCCTTCCTTAGTCTGGGGTGTCATCAGTGCTGAGCCAAGGGGTGGACCCCCGGTGCACCTTCTACGTCCTGAACCCGCAAAACAACCTGTCAAACACAGAGGAGCAGTTCCGAGCCAATTTTAGCAGGTCAGGGGGAAGGGCATAAAGACGGGTGCAGAAGGGGAGACAAACATGGAAGTCACACACCTTCTGCAGACTGGACTGGTGCAGCCAGCCGGCTCTTCCCGCTCGGCTGCCTGGGCTCACTGGAACCTTTTCCCTGCAGTGAAGCTGGCTGGAGTGGGGTGATCGGGAAGGTGCCCAGCCATGAGCAGGTGCAGAAAGCCCTGACTGAGCATGACCTATACATGTGAGTGCTTCGCGCAGCGAAGGGATGTGGCAGCCGCAAGGGTGATGTCACATGGGGTGTGCTCGGAGACGGGCAGGGGCTGACCTCCTTTCCTATTGCCTCAGCTATGCAGGTCATGGCGCTGGTTCTCGCTTCTTCGATGGGCAGGCTATCCTGAGGCTTAGCTGCCGGGCAGTGGCCTTCCTGTTTGGCTGCAGTAGCGCAGCCCTGGCTGTGCACGGAAACCTGGAGGGAGCGGGCATCGTGCTCAAATACATCATGGCTGGCTGGTGAGGCTTGTCCCCGGGGTACTTTCCTGGGTCTGACCCAGAATCGTTTGAGGCTCCACCTTCCTCCTTTCTGAGTTTCCTGGCAATCCTGAACCTCTGACGCCTTAGCCTGGAAGTGTGGGAGAAGGGAATTCTCATTGATTCAGTGTTCTCTCACCTGCCACCAACCAGTCCCATTTTCCTACATATTCTGCTTTGGAACCCTTACGTTGTGTTTCTGCCCTCTCTTTCCCTAGCCCTTTGTTCTTGGGTAACCTCTGGGATGTGACCGACCGTGACATTGACCGCTACGCAGAGGCCCTGTTGCAGGGCTGGCTTGGAGCAGGCCCTGGTGCCCCACTTCTCTACTACATCAGCCAAGCCCGCCAAGCCCCCCGACTCAAGTATCTTATTGGGGCTGCACCGATAGCCTACGGCTTGCCCGTCTCCCTACGGTAGCAGCTTGGAGCTGTCTTACTAGCTGAGCAAAGCCACATGACTGTTTTATCCCCAAACTTAAATTTAAAAATCTCTTAGAATGAATATTTTAAAGTGATTTCCCCCAGTGTTTTATATGAAATATTTCCCTTGAATTAACTTTATATAATAAAGATATATCACCTACTGTTGTGTGTCATTTATTTGAGAATATATAGAGAAGACAGCTATCTTTTTTTCCCACTCGGTCATATCAGAACAACTTGAGGGAGTTTACATTTGAGAATGTTGGGAAGAAAGGCAGACCCACAGAACGAGCCTGGGTGGGGAGGGTCAGGTATGGAAAGTGGGTGAAGTAAATGTTTCAGGTTTGGTTTTTTTTTTTCTCCTATATCTGCAGGGGGCGCGAGGGGAGGAGAGGGGGCCATTCCCTGCTGTCCCACACTGTCAGCACCTGGGAATGAGGGATAGTAGTTTGATGATGCCTTAGAGACCCTCATGTGGAGAAGAATGTTCTGGGGGTGTTACTTGAGTAGTTTTGACAGCTCTGAGATGTTACAGGTTTTGTTGAGAAAATCCACCAGAGTTAACAAAGTCTACTTTAGTGCATCCACAGACCCAGGAACAGGCTGCAAGGCTTGGCCGGGACAGTGGTGCCACCTGTTCAGCTTTCCATTCACTGTTGAGAATATACAGGCCACCCTCTGCTAGCCTAGATGCACTGGCTGTCATGCCCCCCAAGTGCATCTAAGCATGCTGTCCGTGGCACAAGCATCAGTGACAGGAGGCCCAGTGCCAATACATACACTTCAATGTTTTCCACATACCTTGTGATTTTCCTGGTGGCTGGGATTTTAATCCAGTCATCTAACTGGGGAGTCCCCCAAGAAACCTCATCTGGGGTGACTTCAGACCTGACCTCAATTCCCACTGCTTTCCCAAGCATGTCCACAGGGAACTGGATCAGAAGTAGAGCAGGCAGGACTGAAACCTGCCTTGGGATGGTGGCTGCCTAACCCACTATGTCACAGTGCTAACCCTGAGAAGCAGGCAACAGTCTTGTACCCCACCTTGGAAGGCGTGGGTTCAATTCCCATCCCTGGCTCTTGACTCCAGTTCACTGCAAATTTCGACTTTGGGAGGGAGTCGCTATTGCTACCACCCGTCCAGGTAAGGACCGGGACCCGACCATTCATTGCTGGCATTTGAGAAGTGAAATAAGTGGACCATCCTCGGCTGCTTTTCCGGGCACGTTAGCAGGGAGCTGGGCTGGAAGTAGAGGAGCTGGGACTCGAACTTGCACTCATATGGCATACCCGCCCTGCTTAACTCACCATGCCACAACACCAGTTCTTCTAAACACCATTTTCATGCTGCTGCTCCTAGACAAGGATCAAGTTCACAGACTGTCTTGCACCATTGTGATTGTGCCCGGAGCCCTTGAGGGTTTTTAATTTCCCTAAGAGCAAGAATTGTGACTTGCTACAACTTAACAGCGCTAGGCTAATTTTGCAGATTTAACTCCTCCCACGAGGTGAACCTGCGCTGAGCTCCAGCCCCGCCCTCCCGTGCGGGTCATAGAGATGCCAGGAGACGGCTAGAGCGCCGCAAGGCCTCCGGGCACTCCACAGAGACGCGCGGGGGACGGCTAGAGCGTCACTCGCCCCGCCGACTTCCTCTTGGTCCTTCCCAACATGGCGCAGTCGGTGAACATCACGGAGCTGAACCTGCCACAGCTAGAGATGCTTAAGAACCAGCTGGATCAGGTGCGGATGAGCCCCGAGAAGCATCTGTGGCGCGCAACACGTCCCGTCTCTCGCGCGTACTCGCTCACGCCCCAGCTCCAATTTCTTTCCAGTTGGAGCCGTTTTCCCGACGAAACCCCTGTCCGATCCCAGGACCTGCCCCGGTCCTCACCCCGCCCCACTGTCCACTCTTCCTTCGCGACCCTCTAGGCCCCTGGTTCTCACCCTGTCCGCTCCCTCGGGTTTCTCCCTGTCGGTCCCCCCATCCTCACCCCGCTCCACTGTCCTGTGCAGGAGGTGGAGTTCTTGTCCACGTCCATCGCCCAGCTCAAGGTGGTCCAGACCAAGTACGTGGAGGCCAAGGACTGTCTGAATGTGCTGAACAAGAGCAACGAGGGTACGGGGCCGGCGAGGGAGGGCAGCCCGGGGAGCGGCGGGAGCCCCCCGCCCCAGGCCTGCCCTCCCCAAGCGGCTTGTCGTGCTTGCTTTCACAGGGAAAGAATTACTCGTCCCGCTGACAAGTTCTGTATCCTTTCCACGCCGCCTGCTCCCTTTCCCTCCCGCTCTCTCCTGGCTGGGCTGGGAGTTTGGCTTACTGCAGACCTCTGGGGATTCCGGTATAGTCCTGGCCAGGGAGCAACACCCTGCCACTGTTCTGTGAGGCTCAGAGTAGGTAGAATTGAAATAGGATGAGAATATGGAGAAAAGCTGGGCTTGGGACTGTAAAAGAGTTACGGAGAAAGGGAGGGACACAGAGCAAATTTCCACCGCTGGTTCATTCCCCAGATGGCCACAGCTGGCCACAGCTGGGATAGTCAGGAGCCAAGAGCTGCTTATAGGTCTCCCACCCAGGTGCAGGATCACAAAGCTTTGGGTCATCCTCCACTGCTTTCCCAGGCCACGAGCAAGGAGCTGGATGGGAAGTGGAACTGGCACCCATATGGGATCCTGGTATTGCAGCCAGAGAATTGCCCACGCAAGCCTCTCTTGACTCCTGGGGCAGGAGCAGGCCATCACTACATCCAGGCTTTGCAGAGGGGACCATGGAGAACAATTACAAGGACTGCTTAGAGCTCCCTTGTGGGGTTAACGGGTATATATTTTTTCAAGACATTTATTTATTTTTTAAAAAGATTTATTTATTTATTGGAAAGTCAGATATACAGAGAGGAGGAGAGACAGAGAGGAAGATCTTCCATCCGATTCACTCCCCAAGTGAGCACAACGGCCGATGCTGTGCCGGTCCGAAGCCAGGATCCAGGAACTTCTTCCGGGTATCCCACACGGGTGCAGGGTCCCAAGGCTTTCGACTGCCCTTAACTGCTTTCCCAGGCCACAAGCAGGGAGCTGGATGGGAAGCAGGGCCGCCAGGACATGAACCAGCACCCATATGGGATCCTGGCGTGTGCCAGGCGAGGACTTTAGCTGCTAGGCTACTGAGCTAGGCCCATTACAGTCGTATTTCTAAAGCCTCCGGATTATTCCATGCTTGTGGCTTTTCTTAGCCTAAGACAACCTTAAAAGCTGACAGTTGGTTTACTGGGGACGGGTGGCTCATGCCAGGCTAGTTTCCCCCTTAGCGCTTGCCTCTCAGATGTACGTCCCTGGCAAACTGCACGACGTGGAACACGTGCTCATCGACGTGGGAACTGGCTACTACGTGGAGAAGGTGAGCGGGGCTGGGGGTAGAGTGGAGCACCCAGGAGCCCTGTGGGGCCGTGCAGGATGGACAGTGTGGCACCATAGCACAGGGTCTCCATTGAGCCCCTGGTTCCCCTCTGATCCTACAGACAGCTGAGGACGCCAAAGACTTCTTCAAGAGGAAAATTGACTTCCTCACCAAGCAGATGGAGAAAATCCAGCCCGCCCTACAGGAGAAGCATGCCATGAAGCAGGGTAGGCCCCGCCCATTGCCCCCTGACCCCAGGCCCTGTCAGGTCTCTAAAGAACCGGGGGTGGGGGAAAGCAAGCAGTCCAACAGTGGCCGGGTCCCCTGGGCCACATCCAGGCGGGGGTCACTGCAGTCAGGCGCCGACACCCACCCTTAAGTTGCTCCCAAGTAGCATCCGGGCAGCATCTGACTCGCCTTTCCTCCCCGCTCCACTCCCCACAGCTGTCATGGAAATGATGAGCCAGAAGATCCAGCAACTCACAGCTCTGGGGGCAGCCCAGGCCACGGCCAAAGCCTGAGAGATTTCTTGCGGAGCGTGGGGAAGGCTCCCCAGGACTTTGGGGGTGTGGTTCGCGGGGAGCGGCGGGAGGAGGCGGGGACGGGCTCGTGTTTAATGTGAATAAATGTGTCCGCTTGGTAGAATGTTGGCGATCTTGTTGCATCAGGCCAGGAACTGGTGATGAGGTGATGGGAGGTGGGAGGCCTCACCCCGGGCACTAGGAGGAGCTGAAGGATCCGGCGTCCCGGCTAGCAGCCCGTTGTCGTGGGAACCGCGGCGAGCGGAAGCCGAGCGGCCCTTCCGCCTCCGGGTCGGGGAAGCCGCATGAGCCGACGCCTGCTGGGCGGTCTCGCGCTGCTGTGGCGGCCGCCGTCCCGCGCCGGGCGCCGCATGCTGCACCCCGCCAAGCACCCCCGCTGCAGCCCCATGGCCCCGCCACGCATCGGCACGCACAATGGCACCTTCCACTGCGACGAGGCGCTGGCGTGCGCGCTGCTCCGCCTGCTGCCCGAGTACCAGGTGCGGTCGCCCGGGCACCTGGCCCGCGCCCCCGGCCGCTGGTCACCCCCACCCCCGCCGTGACCTCGTGCGCTCTCCCCCAGGAGGCCGAAATCGTGCGGACGCGGGACCCTGAGCAGCTGGCCGCGTGTGACGTCGTGGTGGACGTGGGCGGCGAGTACGACCCTCGGAGACACCGATACGATCACCACCAGAGGTGGGTGCCCGAGGACCCCTGCCCACTGTGTGTGGCCGGTGGCGCGGGTCGCCGTCGCAGGTGGACGTGGCCTTTTCCCTCCCCGCCTCCTCTCCAGGGCAACTGAACTCGCTTCTCACGTGCCCCGCCTCCATTGCCTGCTCCAGACACACCTCCCTCCCTCTTCCCAGTCTATCCAGTCAGCGCCCACTTTTCCTTCCCCACAGCCTAGCTCTTGTGCTCCAGCCTCTTCCATCTTGAAAGGGAAGAAAGTAGGAGCTGGCCAGGGCATGCAGTTCCCAACGCTGCTGCGGACACCCACGTCCCATTGCGAAGGGCCGCGGCCCTGGTCCCAACCTGCCTTTGCTCCCGGCTCCCTGCCTTTGGCTTCCTGCTAAGGCATACGCTGGGAGGCAGGGGGCTGGCTTAAATACCTGGGTCCTGCCATCTGGTGTGGGAGACCTGTGTCTGTCTGTCTGTCTTGTTTTTTAAATAAAAATGAACAAAAAGGAAGCAGCGATAAATCATGATAGACTTGGAAATTTACCTGGAAACCATATTTAACCTGTTCAGCACCAACTAAATTTTTTTTTTTTAAGATTTATTTTTATTGTTTTTTTATTGGAAAGGCGGATATACAGAGAGGAGAGACAGAGAGGAAGATCTTCCGTCCGATGATTCACTCCCCAAGTGAGCGCAACGGTCAATGCTATGCCGATCTGAAGCCAGGAGCCTCTTCCGGGTCTCCCACGCGAGTGCAGGTTCCCAAAGCCTTGGGCCGTCCTCGACTGCTTTCCCATGCCACAGGCAGGGAGCTGGAAGGGAAGCGGGACTGCCGGGATTAGAACCAGCGCCCATATGGGATCCCGGGCGTGCAAGGCGAGGACCTTTAACCACTTGCGCCACCGCGCCGGGCCCAGCACCAACTAAATTTTAAAAGTTGGGGTCCGACACGATGGTTCGATGGCTAAATCTTTACCTTGCAAGCATCAGGACCCCATTTGGGCACTGGTTTGTGTTCGGCTGCCTCTCAGGGTGTGCATTAGCAAGCAGCTGATCAGAAATGGAGTCAGGACCCAAACCAGGGACTGCGAATACGGGATGTGGCCAGTCCCAGGCAGCAACCTAGCTGCTGCACAAGTGCCCCTGCGCACGCGTTCTTACGTGTGGCTCAGTACATATCTGTTGGCATCTGCAAGGTATTTGGTTCCATTTCTTTTTCAACCTAATCTCACCAGTTGTCTCCTTTTGTATTTTATCCCTTGTGAACATGATATTTGTTTGCAGATACTCGGTCTGCAGTAATAAAACTGGTTAGTAAGCATCAGTGCGCTCCCTGGGGGATTGCCAGCTGGCCTGGTATTTAGAAGCTCCTGCTGTGGCTTCTCCTTCCCTGGCATCCCTCACTCCTTTCTGCCCCCTCCTCCCACTGCAGGTCATCTTCAGGCCAGCTGTGCACCCTCCAATGGCTTTCCACAACCCACAGGAAAACTCCAGAATACTGTCTCCAGAGCCTGCCACAGTCTGGCCCCTTCCTGCCCTCCCAACTTATCTAAATTTTTTTAATACTTATTTTTCAGGGCCCGGCCCCAGCCTTCCCAAAGGGGCTTCCTCCCAGCTCCTACAGCACTCCCCATCCCCCCACCCCTGCACACGCAGTGGGTTCACCTGGGTTCCCCTATGCCCCCCAGGTCTTTCACAGAGAGCATGAGCTCGCTGTGCCCCGGGAAGCCATGGCAGACCAAGCTGAGCAGCGCGGGACTCGTCTATCTGCACTTCGGCCACAAGCTGCTGGCCCAGCTGCTGGGCGCTGATGAAGAGGACAGCGTGGTGGGAGTCCTCTATGACAAGGTGGGTGTGGGAGACCACCAGACACCAGCAGGAGGCACTTTGCCAGCACTTAGGCCCGGGTTATGGGGCAGGGCCGGGCTCCCCAGCAGCACCCTGGCGTGGCTGAGAGAGCAGAAGAAGCTCACAGTGAGGGTTTGCAAAACCAGAAAGCCACACTTCCTGGGGCTTTCTTCCTTGGCATAGAAAAGCGGCCAGAAGTGTCCGGCCTGGAGGCTGTGGCTGCCCTAAGCGTTGAAGGATGCCCATTAAGCCCTGCAGTGATTGGTGGCTGACCCGCAGCAGCTCATCTTGGAGGCTTTGATGCCCAGAGTGTCCCCTGCCGTTGGTCCTGGCACTGCTGTGACCTTAGCTTCCCTGCCCTCTAACCCACGTGACAGCATTCATGTACTCCCAAGCCGAGAAATGTGAGCAGCTTGGGTTAGAAGCTTTCAAGTACCCAATTTGGTCATGTTTTGTGTTATTTTTAAAAGCTTGACTTATTAGAGAGGCAGCTCTTCCATCTGCTGATTCACTCCCCAGGTGCTCTCCCTGCACTGACCTGGCCCAAACAGAAGCCAGGAGCCAGGCTTCTGAACTCAGTCCAGGTCTCCCACATGTATGTCAAGGGCCCAGCTAGCAGGGCTGGAAGCAAGGGTAGCTGAGTCCCGGGCAGCAGCTTAACCCACTATACTATGAGGCCTACCTCCTTGTGCCATGTTTCAATCAAGCATCAGTTTGGGGTCCAAAACACACAGCTGCCTAGCCTAGAAGGGTTCCTTTTCCCTTCTTCCTGAGAATTGCACGTTTTCTATAATAGCATACGTGGAACCTGGGGGCCTGCTCTGTAGGGTGGTATGCATAAAAACTAGCATCCCTTACTGGCTGTGACCCCCAAATTTTTTTTAAGATTTTTTTTTTATTACAAAGTCAGATATAGAGAGAGGAAGATCTTCCGTCCAATGATTCACTCCACAAGTGGCTGCAATGGCTGGAACTGTGCCGATCTGAAGCCAGGAACCAGGAACCTCTTCCAGATCTCCCATGTGGGCGCAGGGTCCCAAGGCTTTGGGCCATCCTCAACTGCTTTCCCAGGCCACAAGTAGGGAGCTGGATGGGAAGTGAAGCTGCCAGGATTAGAACCGGCGCCCATATGGGATCCCAGTGCGTTCAAGGCGAGGACTTTAGCCACTAGAACACAGCACCAGGCCCTCCAAAACTCTTTAAAATGCTATCTTACCATTTCTTCAGGCTCAGTCGCTCCAACAGGGCTGGCATGGGGACACAGCGGGTTAAGCACCACTTTTGATGTCTAGCCAGTCCAAGTCCCAACTACTACGCTTCTGATCCAACTTCTGCTAATGCACCTGCCCAGGTAGCAGGTGATGGCACAAGCAGCCGGGACCCTGAACCCGTGGGAGACATTTGGATGGAGCTCCTGGCTCCTGGCTTCAGCCTGGCCATTGAAGCCATTTGGGGAATGAACCGGGAGGAGGAGCTGTATAAGAGCTGCAGCAGCTGCTGCTATCATGGGGCACACACTGGGGACCATCCCTGGCACCCACAGCCCCATAGCCCAGCTCTGGATGTTGTTTTGCCCCTCGTGCACTTGGCAGTGAGGTCCCCGAATAGTTTCCTCAGCCCAGCTGGCAACTTAGCCTCACTTAGTCATAGGCAGCTGTCCCCACCACGACCCTCTAGGCCTTGAGACAGTCTTTTTGAAGTCAGCACATGCTGGGCCTGGGCTTCATGGCGTGAGCATGGGACTGGAAATTGGGTGATCTGGATTTCTGTCCCACCCCACCACCAGCTCTCTGACCTCAAACAAACCACTGAACCCCACAGCTTCTTTCCCTCATTCCATTACTGTCCAGAGATCCTCCTTGGTCCAGTGTGAGGCTTACGTGCATGACTGTGGCCTTGAATTCTGGGGGGCAGCTCCCCACGGCCTTCAGCAGCTTCCAGACCCCTGCCCCTGCTGCCACCTTAGATGTATGAGAACTTCGTGGAAGAGGTGGACGCGGTGGACAATGGGATCTTGCAGTGGGAGGGGGAGCCTCGCTATGCGCTCACCACGAACCTGAGTGCCAGGGTGGCTCGACTTAATCCCACCTGGAACCAACCCAACCAAGACACTGAGGTAAGGAGGATCCCTGGGTGAGAGGGCCCTAGACCCACACGAGGGAGCCCCAGGAGGGCCTGGACACAGGGGTACCTGCTGGGCTGGCGGGCCGGCTACAGTTGCGGCTGTCACAGGCAGGCTTCCAGCGTGCAATGGAGCTGGTTCAGGAGGAGTTTCTTCAGCGACTGGACTTCTACCAGCACAGCTGGCTGCCTGCCCGGGCCCTGGTGGAAGAGGCGCTGGCACAGCGCTTCCAGGTACACTCACCTGGGAAGAAAACCTGGGCCTCTGGGGTCTGAGGCTGCTGCTTAGCAGGAGCCCCTGTGCACACTCCGCTTTCCTCTCAGGTGGACCCCAGTGGGGAGATAGTGGAACTGGCCAAAGGTGGTTGTCCCTGGAAGGAGCATCTGTATCAGCTGGAGTCAGAGCTGTGCCCACCAGGAGCCATTGCCTTTGTTATCTACACTGACCAGGCTGGGCAGTGGCGGGTTCAGTGTGTGCCCAAGGAGCTCCACTCGTTCCAAAGCCGGTGAGGCACCAGGGAGCCCCTCCCCCACTACGGACTTCAGGCTGACCCAACCCTGTGCCTCTCTTGCAATGCCCTCTGGCCTTCACTCACTCTTACCTGCACCCTCTTTCTGTTTGCTCATAGGTTGCCCCTGCCAGAGCCATGGCGGGGTCTTCGGGACGAAGCCCTGGACCAGGTCAGTGGGATCCCTGGCTGCGTCTTTGTGCATGCCAGTGGCTTCATTGGCGGGCACCGCACCCGAGAGGGTGCCCTGAGCATGGCTCGTGCCACCCTGGCCCAGCGCCCAGCACCTGTGCCTCCCCCAGAAACCCCAGTCAAATAAAGCCTGCCTTTTCCTACAGCCACAGGCCTAGGCCCATTACTGCCAGCACCAGCACAGGGAACCATCAAGTATGTCGGGTCTTTTCTCACACCGACGTCTTTGTTCTGCCATCCCACTAACTGAAATCCATCTGGTTCCAAGGCCTAAACATCCAGATCCACAGGATGTGGACAGGGTTGTCCAAGTCCATGCCCCCTCCACAATACCCCATGCAACTCCCAGGAAACTAGACTAGTGATGAAGTAAAACAGGGTTTTATTGGAGGTGCGGATGAGGGGATTGTGTCCGAGCAGGTGGTGGCCCGGAGGGAGGGTCCCAAGGGGCAGAGATGGGGGACATCTCTGTGAAGAGGGGCAGGTCGTGCAGAGTGGAGCCGCCACCAACCGGGAACTCCTGGGCCCGTCCCAGCACAGGGCTAAACCGTGGGAACTGAGCGTTGACAAAGTACAGAGGGATGTGGGCGATGCAACCTGTGGACCAACACTGCAGGGTGCAGAAGGCCATGGTCAGGGCCAGGGCACAGGGGAAGCTCCGTGGCTGCCCTTAGCATCCCCAGCCCATCCCAGCCCCCAGCAGCCTGGCATGCTTACCACACTGAGCAGGGCCCCTTTACTGAAGGAAGGGTGGAAAGTGATGAGCTGGGCCTGGGCTCCTGGCTCCCCCTGGATGATGCCGCTAGAGAGAAGCAGAGGGAGGCAAATGGCAGCACCTGCATGCCATGCTGGGCGGCGGGTGGCCCACAGGCCTGTCCTGTACTTACCACGGAAGCAGCTCAAACACGGGGCTGTTACGTGTGCGAAACAGGAGAATGACAGGTGTGCCATCCCGCACCCGGGGGTTTCCTAAAGGAAATGAATCCAAGGCTAGGGAGGTGGCATCCCAGGGCATGGGCACCGTGGGTGAACGGAGGGGCCGGCAGGGCCCAGCCACTTACCCTTCATGAGCACAGCCAGCCGTTCCCCGCTGGGGTCCCAGACCATGGAGTGGGCTTCACCCCCAAGCCTGCGGGGTGGGGCGGGGTGGGTCCTAGGCTTAGGCCAGCACAGCATGTGTCTCTCCCACCTCCCTCACCTGGGCTGGGCCTTGCAACTCACCTCTCTTCACCATCAGGGGTCTGGATGGTTGTCTCAGACAGATCTGCCACGATGGTGGCTGACTTGGCCCCTCCCACGCAGCCCTTTCCCTCACCTGCAGGTGAGAGCACAGGGCCCCACCAGCCCATCACAGGCATGTCACCTCCCTCTGCCCTCCGAGATGTCCCCTGGCCTGAAGCGCTGCCTGCCCTCACGTACCGCAGCGTTCTGGGAATGACAAGGAGTAAATGAGCGGTTCCCCTAGAACGGTGAATAGCAGCCGGCTTCCATCTGGGCTCCAGCAGCCAGTCTGGGGAGAGGGAGGTGACAGGAAAGTAGGAGAGAGGAGAAGCAGGCAGGTCAGGGCCCCTCCCCACGTCCCCAGTCCCGCTTACCTGACAGCGCCCTGAGAGGGTGGGCCACCTCTCACAAGTCCACATCTGGGCCTCCCACACTCTGAGAGCCAAGGAGAGGCAAATAGCTCAGAGGCTTGGCATGACAAACATGGCCCCAAGAGCTGTGCCAGCGGCTCGCTCACTCCCTGCCACCCCTACCCCCACTGCCCAGTGCTCACCGGAAGACAGCTGAAGGCGTGGTGGCCAGGACTTTGCTGCCATCAGGGGACCAGAGCAGGTTGGTAACCCCACCTCCACGGAACCAGTGAAGGGGGACACAGGTCTCTGTGGAGACATCCCACACCTAGGAGGGCCGGGCAAAGCAGTCAGCACCCTCCCATCTCTGCTAGGTGCAGGGGTCAGCGGGGAGAGGCAGGGAGGAGCCTGGGCTGAGCCCTAGGCTGGCCCAGGGTTGTCTGTGCAGAGCAATCTTAAGGCTCCAGGGATGTGGATGGGGAAGCGCCTTCCCGGCAGGTCCCTCCCCTCCCCTCACTCCCCCATGCTGTCCTCCAGTAGGCAACACTCATCCCTTGGGATGCTTTCCTGGACACCAAAGGGCTAGCTGAAACAACCCTAAGCCAACTCACCAGGATGGCAGCACCTACGGGGGAAGCGGACAGCAGGCGCCCCCCGCTGGGGGCCCAGGCCAGGCTAGTGACGGGTGCGTGCCCAGGGTGAGACAGCACTTGAGCGCAGCCAGAAGAGGGCCTGTTCAGGGACAACGGAGTGTGCGGGGTCAGAGGACAGCAAGAAAGGACAATTCCGCTCCCATGCCGCCTCTGTCTAAAACCTGAACCCTCTCGATCCCAACGGTTCCTGTGCGCTCAAACCCAGGCAGGAAGGATCCTGGCACTTGCCCCTACCCCACAGGCACGTCCTGTGGGTTACAGCGACCCAGGGACCAGGCTGAAGGGCAGGAAGCTCTCCGCACAGGCTGCAGGGAGCCAGCCCCTCAGCCTGGCCCATCCAGCCTGGCTAGGGAAGCCCATTTCTCAAGGGCTGGTCTCTCCTCTCGGCAGGGGGACCTACAGCACCCCAGCTCGGCCCTCTGCCCCTTGCTGTCCTGATGCCTCCCAGCCTGGGCATAGGATAGACACGTGTGTACAAGGACAGGCCACTGCCTGAGGCTGGACCCTGCCAGGGGCATCCCCTGTGGTTGCTCCAACTTTGGGGCTCCAGTGCCACAGATGCCGCCCTTGCCTCCACCTCCAGCCTGTCTGTAAGCACATTTAGCTCCACTGAGGCACAACGGTTCCTCTGCAGTTTCCTCTCAAATCTTTTTAGGAAATCAATTCTCAGAAATCCACCTTGCTCTTTCCAATGGCCCCAGTGTACTTTACTGGGTATATGAATTACACTTTATATGTCATGCCTCTACAAGTGGACATTCAGATTACAGTAATAGAACATTTCTAAGTGCTATAAAAATACTTTTCTATATCTATCCATCATAGCTATGTCATTGTTTAACAGGTTCTTTAAAAAAAATACCAACAGGTGTCTGGCACAGTGGCCTAGTGGCTGAAGTCCTTGCCTTGCACAAGCCAGGACCCCATATGGGCACCTGTTTGTGTCCTGCCGGCCCCCATTCCCATTCAGCTCCCTGCTTGTGGCCTGTGGGGGCAGTCGAGAATAGCCCGAAGCTTTGGGACCCTGCACCCACATAGGAGACCCAGAGGGGGCTCCTGGCTTCAGATCAGCTCAGCTCCGGTTGTTACGGCCACTTGGGGAGTAAAGATGGAGGATCTTCCTGTCTCTCCTACCTCTCTGTATATCTGACTTTCCAATAAAGGTAAAATAAATCTAAAAAACAACACACCAACAAGTGATCTGCTGAAGAGTTTGCACTACACCACACTATCCACTGTGTAAGAGCTGGGGGCAAGCACTGTGGCACAGCACGTTAGGCTGCTGCACAGGACGCCTGCATCCCCCCCTCTCACAGTAGCTAGGGATAGAGTCCTGTCTCCATTTCCTGTCCAGCATCTTGCTAATTCACATCCTGGAAAGCAGTGAGTGATGATTCCAACACTTGGGTTGCTGCCACTCGCATGAGACGGAGACGGCCCGGGCTATGGTGGGCGTTTGAGGAATGAACCAGCAGTGGGAAAATTTCTGTAGTCCCTCTGCAAATACTTGTAGCATTTTCTGTTTCATCATTTAATATGGTAGCTACTGGTTGTGAGTAAGTACCTTTATGGGAGCCAGCACCATGGCACAGCATCCTAAGCCTCCACCTGCACGCACATGGCCACTGGCTCGTGTCCCAACTATGCCACATCCCATTCAGCTCCGTGCTTAGGGTTTGGGAAAGCTGTGGAGGATGGTCCAAGGGCTTGGGTCCCTGCACCCACCTAGGAGACCCAGAAGAAGCTCCTGGATCCCAGCTTCAGATGGGCCCAGCATTAACCACTGTGGCCATTTGGGAAGTGAATCAAGAGATGGAAGATCTCTGTCTCTCCTTCTCTCTGTAAATCTGCCTATCCAGGGTGCCATGGTTCAACAAGCTAATCCTCCATCTGTGGCTCTGGCGTCCCCTGTGGGCACTTGGTTCAAGTCCTGGCAGCGGCTCCACTTCCAATCCAACTCTCTGCTTGTGGCCTGAGAAGGCAGTGGAGAATCACCCAGGTCCTTGGGACCCTGCACCGATATAGGAGACACTGCAGCCACTTGGGAAGTGAACCAGCAGATGGATGATCTTTCTCTTGTCTCTCCTTCTCTCTGTACATCTGCCTTTCAAAAACAAATCTTTAAAAAATAACATTTCACAAAAATATTTGTTTTAGATTGACTGTTTCTTTTAAACTGTGTCTTTTCATCTGGAACTGTCTGAGGACATTTATCACTCTAAACACTGTCCTTCCTTGGCTGACACATGTTAATAGATTTCTTAAGCATAAATGGTTTTTAATTTTCTGGAACCCTACTTAGGCAAAGGAAATTATTTGATGTTCTATTTATTTTTAAGATTTGTTTTATTTTTATTTTATTGAAATAAATTAATTTACTCCCCAAGTAGACACAAACAGCCAGAGTGGAGCTGATCTTCCCTCTATTGGTTCACTCCCCAGTTAGCAGCAACGGCTAGAACTGAGCTGATCTGAAGCCAGGAGCTCCCAGCTCCCGGGGCTCCCAGCTGGCTGCAGGAACCAAGTATTTGTTCCATGCTCTGCTGCTTTTCCAGGTGCATTAGCAGGAGCCGGAACAGAGGGGGCAACCAGGACGTGAACTGACGTAAGAGACCCCGAGGTCTTTCATCAGCAGGTTTTCCCCTCACATGGCTACAATGGCGAGGGTTTATCTTCCCTTTTACTTTTTAAAAGTTTTTTTTTTTAATATTTCCTTTTTAGAAAGGCATGAAGAAGAAGAGGAAAAGACCCAAAGAGACATCATCCATCTATCAATTCACTCCCCAGATGGCCATAATGGTCCCAAGTCGAGCCAGCTCAAAGCCAGGAACCTAAAACGCCACCTGGGTCTCGCACATGGGTGGCAGGAACCCAGACACTGGGGTCATCTTCCCCTCCTTTCTTAGGTGCACCAGCAGAGAGCTGGATTAGGAGCACAACAGCTGGGCCCCGTGCAGTAGCCTAGTGGCTAAAGTCCTTGCCTTGCATGCATTGGGATCCCATATAGACGCTGGTTTTTATCCCAGCTGCTCCACTTCTCATCCAGCTCCCTGCCTGTGGCCTGGGAAAGCAGTCGAAGACGGTCCAAAGCCTTGGGACCCTGCACCTGTTGGGAGACCCAGAGGAGGCTCCTGGCTCCTGGCTTTGGATTAGCTCAGCTCCAGGCATTGTAGCTGCTTGGGGAGTGAATCAGCGGATGAAAGATATTCCTCTCTGTGTATCTGACTTTGCAATAAAAATAAATCTTAAAAAAGGAAAAACAGAACAGCTGAAATTCAAACTGGAGCTCATAAGGGATGCCCACGTCACAGGCAGGGGCTTAACCTCCAACATTGCAACACTGGCTCCTAGGATCTACTGTAATTTTTCCTATTTCTTAAGATTCACTTAAGGGGCCAACAATTGGCATAGTGTGTTAAGCCACTGCTCGAGGGACTGGCATCCCCTTGCAAGCACCAGTTTCAGTCCTGGCTGCCCTACTTCCCATCCAGCTCCCTGCTAAACAGCTGGAAGAAGCTTCTGGCTCCGGATCAGCTCAGCTCTGGCCAATGCACCATTTGGGAAGTGAACCAGAGGATGGAAGATCTCTGTCTGTCTCTCTAACTGCCATTTAAAATAAAAATAAATCATGGAAAAAAAAAGTGAAGAGCCAATTTCTGGTTCATTTTGAATTAGTCCCCTGGAGACTGTTTTCTAATTTCATTGGCTCCTGCTCTCACTGCCCGCCCCCTTCCATTAAGCCTATGGCAAGTCCTCTTTCCATTTTCAGTCCCGCCCCTTCCTCTCCATTGGCACCTTCTCGGCAGCCCACCCAGACCTTAGCTTTGCCCCCCACTGCAGTCCTGGGTTGAACTGGGAGCCTCCAGACCCCCTCATGAACCACCACCTCTACCCCCGCGGCCACCACCGCACAAGGCCAGGGTGAGCTGGGTGGGAGGTGGCGGGTTCCTTACCGTGTGGACAAGGAGGTAGGGTCCAGGGTCCAGATGAGGATACAGCTCTGGCAGGCGACAGCCAGCACCGAGGCACTGAGGGGCTTCCAGGCCAGGGCTGCCACATTCCGCTGCAGCCGGTGCTTGAGGGAGGGGACGATGGTGCTGGGGGTTAGGCACAGGGGCTGAGTTACAGTGGGGACCCCAGAGCTCAGGGCAACAGATGCGCTTTAAGAAGAAAAGCGGACACCCCCCCACACACCCTTCCATCCCACCTCCTGTTCTCCCCCCCAGGGCTACAACAAGGACAAACCCATGTGACAGGGGTTCTCTGAAAGGAGCCCTGTGGGCCAAGTTCAGGGACTGCAGCCACACACCCACACATACCTGTTGGCATTGTACACCCGAATCGAGTCATCCAGCAGGGCCACCGCAAACTTGTTGGTGTGGGGGTGCCATGCAAAGACCCGCAAGCAGCAGTTGGACCTGGGGTGGAGGTGAGCCTGCAGACTTGGAACCTGTCCCGGCCCCACCCCGGCCCCACCCCAGCCCCCAAGCCAGTTCCCCTTGGCAGGGCCAGTGCGGTGGTGTAGCATATGAAGCCTCCACCTGCATCTCACGTGGGCACTGGTTTGAGTTCCAGTTGCACCACTGCCAAACCAGTTCCCACCCCACACATGAGCCTGGAGAAGCAGCAGAGGACAGCTCAAGTCCTTGGGTCCCTGGAACCATATGGAAGACCTGGGAGAAGCTTCTACCTCCCAGCTTCAGTACCCAGCCAGCTCAGGCCATTGCAGCTATTTGGGGTATGAACTAGTGGATGGAAGATATTTCTTTCTCTAATTTGGCCTTTCAAATAAAAGTAAATAAATCTTACAAAAAATGAGTGAGGGAGTGATTTATCCTATTTTGGTTAGTGGGGGAGGGAACGGTGAGCATACAGAGCAGCCAGAAAAGCAGTGAGCAGAGGAGTCTCTGCCTTGCCCTCCCTCCCTCCATAAGGAGTTACAAGGTGCCCCCAGAGCTGGTGCACTCACCAATTGGTGACCTGGGCAAACTCGGCAATCAGATCTTCACTCCTGAGCTGCAGGGACAGAACAGGCCTCGGTGTCCCCACACAGGGCAGCCGGACGACCCCTTCCCATTCCCACCCCCACTCTAAGGGCTGAGCGAGCGCGGCAGCAAGCAGGGCGAACTCACGGACAGGTGGGGGAACAGGGAGCCGTGGAGGGAGGATGCCCATCGGCACAGTGCCAGGGCCCAGCTGGACGCCGTCTTCACCCACTGGAACACTGTGGAGAGGGGAGGGCAGCAGTTCTGACAGAGTCATCTCCCAGCACACCCGGTGAACACCCCCTCAGGTGAGAGACAAGCAAGGTCAAAGGCATCCCCACATCCCCCTGCACAACGAGTGCTCTGACACCTCACTCAGGAGCTACCTGGAGAAGAAGGGGAGCAGGTGACAGGGGGAGGAGAAAAGGGACAAAGGCAAAGACACCAGGGCCCCAGAAGTGCGGGGGAGAGTCCAAGAGGAATGGAGCGAGGAAATAAGCCAGGACAGAGCCAGGAGGACTGGACAAAAATACTTACCCTCTTCCTCTGCGTTTGCAATTTCATTCAGCACCCCAAAAAGGCCCACATCGCGCCTAGGAGAGAGAGGAGGCCGTGTGTCAGACGGCTCCGACCCCCTCGGTTCTTTGTTATAACTATCAATCAGTCACCAACAAACAACTATTCAAAATGCTCACAAGAGCCAAGGCTGGACCAGGCTAAAGTGGAGAGCCTGGAACTCCATCCAGGATTCCTGTGTGGTGTCAGGGACCCAGCCACCTGCGCCACCATCGGCAGCCTCCCCAGGTGAGGCAGCAGGGGAGCTGGGATCCAGGATGGGATGTGGGCATCCCAAGCTGTGGCTTCAGCTGCTGTGCCGCAATGCCTGCTCCCACCAAAGGGTTTTAAGCAAAGGGAAAAAATAGCCATGTCAGCATTTCAGGAAAAAAAAAAGTCTGGCTACAGATTAAGGGAGAATCAGAATGGAGAGAAAGGAACTCAGTGGGGGCTGGCTCGGCATGTTAAACTGCAGCACAGGGGTCCCATACAGGTGCCAGGTAGCATTCCAGCTGCTCAACTTCCGATCCAGCTCCCTGCTCCCTGCGCCTGGGAGAGTAGTGGAGGATGGCTCGAGTCTTTGGGCTCCTGTACCCACATGGGAGACCCAGAAAAAGCTCCTGGCTTTGGCTCAGCCCTGTTCATTATGACCATCTGGGGAGAGAATCAACCGATGCAAGACTTCTCTGTAACTCCCTCAAATAAGTAAATAAATATTAAAAAGGAAAAAAAAAAAAAGGAATTAGTGAACAGACTACTTGAGGAATGTAGAAAAATACACACCCAAGTAACCTGAACTAGCAGGAATGGAGATAAGAAAAGCCAGGAAGTAAAATGGACAAGACCTCGGGACTAATTCGTCATCAATTTGGGAACATGTAGTATCAAGACGCCACCAGGCAGTCACGGCATCATTCAAGACACCTGCCATGGACCAGGCCCTGGGCTAGCTGCTTCACATGATCTCTTGTCATCATGGCATTTTCAAATGAGAAAATGGGGATTCAGAGCTAAACAGGATGAAGAGGAGCCAGAGGGCAAACAGTGGGATTCAACCACCTGCAGCTCCCACACCCTCCACTTAAACGACTTGCCCCTCAAAGAATCACCTGAGGAGGTTTGGAGAGGAAATGAAGGCTGGATGTGAACAGCAAGAATGTGTGTTACTGGAATATCCCAGCACTGACATCTGGCAAACCCAGGAACTCCCGGGGGCCCACGCTGTGGCATAGGGGGTTTAAGCCACCAACTGTGACACAAGCATCACACTGGTTTGAGTCCTAGCTGCTCCACTTCCAACTCAGTTCCCTGCTGATGTGCCTGGGCAAGCAGCAGCATATGGGCCACGTGCACACCCAGGCTGGTGTCTCAGCTGGAAATTCAACCCGAGGAACACGGACACGTAAGTCCACATCAGGAGGCCCTGAGAAGGCCGAGGAGACGTAGCTAGAAAGGTCAAAGGTGAGGAAGCGGCCAGGAACGGAGGGCTCCTGCAGACACTCAGGTCATGTTCAACTTCACTCCAAGGCTAAACATCTAAGTGTGACAGGCCACGTACTGTGAAATACACAACGGCTCATGAAGCGATTGGTGGGACCACATGTGCGTGTCTGCAATTTCTTATTACAAATGAACACACTCAGACCCAGCAGAATGGTTCAACTGGCTAATCCTACATCTTCGAGCGCCAGGACCGCACATGGGCGCTGGTTCGTATCCTGGCTGCTCCACTTCCCGTCCAGCTCCCTGTATGAGCCCTAGGAAGGTAGCAGAGGATGGTCCAAAGTCTTGGGATCCTGCACCTACATGGAAGACCCAGAAGAGGCTCCTCATTTCTGGCACTTGAGGCCACTTGGGGAGTGAACCAGTGGATGGAAAATCTTTCTCCGTCTCTCCTCTAAGTCTTTCCAATAATAAATAAATATTTTTTTTAAAAGCTTTGTTTACTTTTATTACAAAGTTATATAGAGAGGAAGAGAGGCAGAGAGGAAGATATTCCATCCACTGATTCACTCCCCAACTGACCACAATGGCCAGTGCTGCCCTGATTCAAAGCCAGGAGTCAGAAGCTTCCTCCAGGTCTCCCATGCAGGTGCAGTGTCCCAAAGATGTGGGCCATGCTCAATTGCTTTCCCAGGCCACAGGCAGGAAGCTGCATGGGAAGTGGGGCTGCTGGGATTAGAACTGGCGCCCAAATGGGATCCCGGCGCTTTCAAGGTGAGGACTTTAGCCACTAGGCCAGAGCACCAGGCCCGAAGCAAATCTTTTTTTTTTTTTTTTTAAAGATTTATTTTTATTATTTTTTATTGGAAAGGCGGATATACAGAGAGGAGATACAGAGAGGAAGATCTTCCATCCGATGATTCACTCCCCAAGTGAGCCGCAACGGGTCGATACTATGCCGATCCGAAGCCAGGAGCCTCTTCCGGGTCTCCCACGCGGGTGCAGGGTCCCAAAGCTTTGGGCCGTCCTCGACTGCTTTCCCAGGCCACAGGCAGGGAGCTGGAAGGGAAGCGGGGCTGCCGGGATTAGAACCGGCGCCCATATGGGATCCCGGGCGTGCAAGGCGAGGACTTAACCACTTGCGCCACCGCACCGGGCCCCCGAAGCAAATCTTTAAAAACAACAAATAAACATCACAAGAGCTGAGCAACCTAATTTCCTAAAGTGCTGAAATTCATCACACCGGTGAAAACAGTAACCACAGCTGACATACAAAGGCTTCACACCCAGAGGTTCTGATCTCAACAACGTGCTTACACCTGCTCACTCATCCGATGTACCAATAAAACACGCTCCGTTTCAGACATGGGAAACAAGCACAGAGCGATGACGCGACCTGCTGAAAATCAGAGCTGAAAGTGGCAGTGCCAAGAACCACCCAGATGGCCGTGGCTCCAGCGTGACAGGTCCCTAATGAACACAGGACATTCCTCAAGGCAAACTGATGGCTAACTCTACTGAGCGCTTCAGACAGAAGTACTGACCCGAGGCAAGGATGGGGGCTGCAGGGCGGTTCACCAAGCCTTTCTAGAGCACCATGCTAGCTACTGTAAAGAAAATGGACCACTGGGCCCAGAGTGGTGGCCTAACGGCTAAAGTCCTCACCTGGCACGCACTGGGATCCCATATGGGCATCGGTTCTAATCCCAGCAGCCCCGCTTCCCATCCAGCTCCCTGCCTGTGGCCTGGAAAAGCAGTCGAGCCCAAAAGCTTGTGACCCGGCAACTGTGTGGGAGACCCGGAGGAAGCTTCTGGCTCCTGGCTTTGGATCGGTTCAGCACCAGCTGTTGCAGTCACCAGGGGAATGAATCATCGGATGGAAGATCTTCCTCTCCGTCTCCCCTCCTCTCTGTATATCTGACTTTACAATAAAAAATAAAATCTTAAAAAGAAAATGGACTACTGCCCCGCCGTAGATCATTTGCTATGATCTACAACGGAGGAGGTCTGACTAAAAACAACCCTTTGGCAGAGCAGTCCGAGGCGGCCAGCAATGAGCTCCTTCCCACCACGCTCAGCAGTCCGTGGGCTCACCAAGCGTTGATGCATCTTTTCCACACTTGCTCGCGGTGATGGATGAAGGCAGCTCTGGTGCCGTGGTCCAGCCTCCCCGCTGTCTTGAGGGGGTCCTTGGTCAGGTGGAGGAAGATGGAAGGAAGATGGATCGACTAGAGCCAGAGAAAGGAGGAGGACGGGAGAAGGTGGTGTGTGACTGTGGAGACCCAGGTCCATGCTGAACTCAACCCAGAGCTTGGCTAGAGTTCCACAGGGCTGCAGACACCTGCTTCCTGCATGCAGCGGAATGCCAATCTCAGCTCCCTTCTCTGAGAGACCAGAATGCCATCTGATGACACTTTCCATGGAGCACCAGTGAGCCCCCTACCACCTGTGACTCGCTCCCATCCTCTCCAACCCTACACCCTCACTCCAGCGCCTCTCACGGCTGCAGCTCCTCGCCCAGGTCCACCTGGTCCCGAGACTCTTGCATCCTTTCCATCCCTGGGGCGGCCCCACACCCTCACTCCAGCCCTGAGACAAACTCCAGCGCCTCTCACGGCCGCAGCTGCCCTCCCTCCTCGCCCCAACCCACTTGGCCCCGGAAGTCGGGAGGTAGACTCTCATAGCTACTGCCTGTCACCAGCTCGTTGTTGTACTCGTAGAGGGTGATCTGACCCCGAGGCGGCGGCGGAGGGAATAAATTCAAGGAGCACATCTTGCCAGTCCCGAGGACGGCCGCCACCGACCGGCCCGTGCTCCTCCCTCGGTTCCCGGGCTCGATTTGTAGACGGACGGGTAGCAGGACGGGACACAAGGCGACGCGAAGCTAGCCGGAAGGGGCGGGGAAGTCCTCTCACGGGATGGACTTCCGGAGCTGGAGATGGTGTGTGCGCGCGCCTCCTGGCGGCGGGAGGGGGCGTAGCGCCGACGTCTTCTTTAAGGCCCAGAGGGATTGGTGGTCTCACTGTGTTTGGAGTGTGTGTGTGTTGTTTTATCCTTGTATTTTTTTTTGGGGGGGGGGGGTGGCAGCGAGACTACAATTTGGTGGTTGTTGTTATTTTCCAAATCTATTCCCTAACAGCCGTCTCCCACTGACTTTCTCAGCCCAAAATAAGCCAGGTTGAAGGAAGTACCTAATTAAGCAAGCCCTCCCCAGGCTGTGGCAGGAAAACACAGGCTGTGCATCTCAGAGGGAGCCGGCAGCGGGAAGTGCCTCCGGGAGGATGAAAGAGGCTGAGACCCCTGGGGTCTGCAAGAGGACCGGGTGCCTGGAAGGCCGGGGATTTACTGACAACGTGAGATTATACCTAGATAGACTCAATGCAGAAATTCTGACTTTGGCAAAAACATGGCACAGGGGTGAGGGTCGGGGAGATCAGAACGCTGCTTGGGATGCTTATCTCCTGTGATGCAGTGCCTGGTCCCACATCCCATCCACTCTGCTCCCCATCCATGCTCAGGTACCCCGAGACAACAAAGGCTTGAACAGGAAATCTGGGAGGTCTTCGTTCCTGGTTTCCACCTGGCCCAGCCGGACCCCTGGTTCATTGCAGTTGTTGGGGGAGTGAACCAGCCGATGGAAGCCCTCTCTGCTATTCTGCTTATCAAACGGATTAAATAAATAATAAAATTTAAAAAAAAAAAAGATTGGAGGCCAGCACCATGCAGAGTGGATTAAGCCTCTGCCTGTAGCCGGGACATACCATGTAGTCACCAGTTTGTCCCAGCTACTCCAATTCTAATGCAGTTCCCTGCTAAAGCACCTGAGAAAACAGCAACAGATGACCCAGGTGCTTGGGCACCTGCGGCCATGTGGGAGACCTGGAGGAAGCTTCTGGCTCCCAGCTTTGAATCAGCTCTGCTCTGGCCATTGTAGCCACTAGGGGACATGAACCAGTGGATGGAAGATATTCTCTCCTCTCGCTCTCTCCTTTTTCTTGTCTCCCACTCAACTCCAAACAAATACATAAATAAATATTTTAACATATGTGACTTTCAGGCCCGGCGGCGTGGCCTAGCAGCTAAAGTCCTCACCTTGAACGCACCGGCATCCCATATGGGCACCGGTTCTAATCCCAGCACCTCCACTTCCCATCCAGCTCCCTGCTCCTGGCCTGGGAAAGCAGTTGAGGATGGCCCAAAGCCTTGGGACCCTGCACCCGTGTGGGATACCCGGAGAAAGTTCCTGGATTCCTGGCTTTGGATCAGCATAGCATCGGCCGTTGCACTCACTTGGGGAGTGAATCATCGGAAGGAAGATCTTCCTCTCTGTCTCTCCTCCTCTCTGTACATCTGACTTTCCAATAAATAAATAAATCTTTTTAAAAAGTGACTTGCATCTTGCAATCTTGGGCCAGCTGTAAGGCAGGGGCTAGAGCTGGAGTCGGAAGCAGAATGGGGCCTCTTTCTGCAGGTGTGTGAGAGGAACAGTAGCTGAATTCTTGTACACTGGGTTTCCTCATTTACTGAGTATCTTCATTGCTTTACATGGTTTTTTAAAGACTTATTTATTTTTATTGTAAAGTCAGATATACAGAGAGGAGGAGAAACAGAGAGGAAGATCTTCCATCCGATGATTCACTCCCCAAGAGGCCGCAACGGCTAGTGCTGTGCCAATCTGAAGCCAGGAGCCAGGAACTTCTTTCTCCAGGTCTCCTATGCGGGTGCAGGGTCCCAGGGCTTTGGGCTGTCCTCTGCTGCTTTCCCAGGCCACAAGCATGGAGTTGGATGGGAAGCAGGGCTGCTGGAATTAGAACCGGTGCCCATATGAGAACTGGGCATGTGCAAGGCGAGGACTTTAACCACTACGCTCTCACGCCAGGCCCTACATGATTTTTTCTCACACGAAATAACAGGAGTAGAGTGTAAAGTGTAGAGGGCTGAGGGTCAGGCTTTGTGGCACAGCAAGTTAAGCCCTCTGTTGGTGGGCCTGGCACAGTAGCCTAGTAGCTAAAGTCCTCACCTTGAATGCCCCAGGATTCCATATGGGCGCAATGATAATCCCAGCAGCTCCACTTCCCATCTAGCTTGCTGCTTGTGGCCTAGGAAAGCAGTCGACAATGGCCCAAATCTTTGGGACCCTGTACCCGTATGGGAGACCCGAAAGAAGCTCCTGGCTCCTGACCTTGGATCGGCACAGCACCAGCTGTTGCAGTCACGTGGGAGTGAATCATCGTATGGAAGATCTTCCTCTCTGTTTCTCCTCCTCTGTATATCTGCCTTTCCAATAAAAATAAATAAATCTTTAAGAAAAAAAATGAATTCTATCTATAAAATCTGTTCTCTTTATATTAATACAAATTATTTTTTAATTGTACAGGGCTGGACTCGGCACAATAGTATAGTTGCTAAATCCTCATTTTGCATGAGCCAAGATCCTATATGGACACTAGTTCATTTCCTGGCTGCTCTGCTTCCCATCCAGCTCCCTGTTTGTGGCTGGAAAGGCAGCGGAGGATGATCCAAGCCTTGGGACCCTGCACCTGCGTGGGAGACCCAGAAGAAGCTCCTGGCTTTGGATTCACTCAGCTCTGGTCATTGCAGCCACTTGGGAAGTGAACCAAGGATGGAAGATCTTTCTGTCTCTCCTGCTCTCTGGAAATCTGCCTTTCCAATAAAAATAAGTAAACATTTTATGAAAAATGATTGAAATAATTTTATTTTTGTGCAAAGAATTTTAAACCCATGCATATTTTTTTCCTAATACTTGCTTCCTTCACACATTTTGGAGCCCCCTCAAATTACACACAGTCCCCACTTGGAAGAGCCACCCATCTCACTGAAGAATCTGATTCTAGCATTTTTGGATTCTGTATCTCTCGTTCCTAGCAACCTGAGAAGTTATCCTCAAAAAGAGCTAACCCCATGCCACAAAACAGAAAGGTTCCAGAAGGGAGCTTAGAATGTGCCTCATTAGGGTCCACATTGTGGCATAGTAGGTAAAGCTACCACCTGGAACTCCAGCATCCCATTCAGGCACCAGTTCCATGTCCCAGCTGCTCCGCTTTTGATCCAGCTTCCTGAAAATGGTCCGGGGAAAGCAGCAGAAGACGGCCCAAGTGTTTGAGCACCTGTCAGCCACACGTGAAAGACCCTAATCAAATTCCCCTGGCTCGTTTCTGACCATTATGGCCATCTGAGGAGTGAAGCAGCTGGCAGAAGCTCTTTCTCTCCCCTCCCTTCCTCCTCCCTTCCTCCATCCATCCCTTCTTCTTTCTTTCTGTAAGGATAACTTTAACATAAACAAATGTTTGGGCTATTTATTTATTTACTTAATTGAAAGGAAGAGCAGCTGAGAGAGATCATCCATTTGCTATTTTACTCTCACATGGCCACAGAGGTCAGAGCTGGGCCAGGCTGAAGAAGCCAGAAGCCATAAGGTTCTTCCAGGTCGCCCATGTGGGTGCAGGGCCTCAAGGACTTGAGGCATCTTGCACTTTCCCAGACTCATTCACAGGGAGCCAGATCAGAAGTGGAGCAGCTGGGACTAGAATCTGCACCTGTATGGGATGCCAGCACAGCAGGTGGCAGCCTTACTACCATGACCCCACAAATAAACAAATCTTTTTTTAAAAAATGAAATAAAGAAAAAGCTCTTCACCTAGGGCTCTTGTTAAATGTGCTATCCTGGGCACAGTATGATGGCTCAATGGCCAAATCCTCATTTTGAAAGTGCTAGCATCCCATGTGGGCACCAGTTCATGTCCTGGCTACTCTACTTCCCATCCAGCTCCCTGCTTGTGGCTTGGGAAAGCAGTAGTGGATGGCTCAGGACCTTGGGACCCTGTGCCTACAAAGGAGACCTGGAAGAAGCCCTTGGCTCCTGGCTTCAGGTTGGCTCAGCTCTGGGCATTGCAGCCACTTAGGATTGGAAGTTCTATCACTCCTTATCTCCATAAATCTGATCTGCCTTTCCAATAAGAAAGAAATAAATACTAGTAAAAAAAAAATAATCAAAACAAAACCCTGTATGTCCTGGGACACACAGGACAGCTGCCTGGCTCTCAACTCAAGCTTCCCGCCAATATAGCACTGCGAAGGCAGTGCTGACGGCTGGAGTAATGGGCTTTCTGCCCCCACAGAGAAGACCTGGATGGAGATTTGGGGGTATTAGGGGATGGTAGCAGTCTCTCTCGAGTCAGTTTTAGAGTGGAGCTCAACTGATGTATCCCAGGGGACCCAAAGCTGCTCCTACACCAGACCACATTTGTTAAGTACCAAGACTTTGCTGTTGCTGTCCCAGCTGCTCCTGTCACCCATGTGGGAGCCCAGGATGGAGTTTCTCGGCTTCTGGCTTCCGCCTGGCCCAGACTTTGCCAGCTGTGTTCACTTGGAAGATCCCGATCTCTCCCTCACCTGGCTCTCTTTCTCCTTCCTCTCTCTCTCTCACTGGCTCCGTCATGCATTCAAATAAGTAAGTCAATCCTTCTAAAGAATAACAGCAGGTTAAGTAACAGGACTCTAAACTCTTCCCCACTAATCCAACTTAATTTGCTAGCTTAATTCACTGTCACCTGGGCAATTAAGGCAGCTGGCTGGCAAGGGCTCCCTGAGGAGTTAGCAGGCAAGGTTTGCCAGGCAAACCAGGCGGCAGCCACTCTTCCAGCCCACGCAGGACCTGTTTGGTCGCCTAGCATCGCCTCTGTCACTCATTCACAAGGTCCAGCTCCTGGAAGTCTGAGAAATCCCTCCAGCCAGCTATTTCCACCATCCTGCACGGAAGCCTGGCTCTTTCCCCTACAGGTTATATGGTAAGGATCGTTAGGTGCCTGCCTTGTACCGTGCAATGCTAGCTGGAGAGAGAAGCAGCGGTGATTAGGGCGCTAGTCCACCACCCCCCCCCACCCCCGCAGCCCGGCCATCCCGGCTCAGGTAGGGCTCCCCAACTAGCTTCCTTAACGGCTGGGTTCTAGGGAAAGGCCGAAGCCCAGGCCACGGGGCGCTCCACTCCGCTAACTTCACCAGGGGGCGCGACGGTCCCGGCGACAGAGCAGCGCCAGTGACCCGGAGCCCTCCCCGGGCCCTCAACCAGCACTCGGCGGGCGGTCTCCAAGGCCCCTCTCCAAACGACCTGGGAGGGAAACAGAGGCAGCGTGCAGGGGCCGTCGCCCCAGACTTCTAAAAGCGGAGAGGAGGGGTTCCCCCCCCCCACACACACACACGAGCAGCCCGGCCTGCCGCCCCCTAGTCCCCCCGCCGGCCTCCCGGGTCCCGGGGCCGGTAACCAGGCGCACATGGCCCTCCCGGCCCTGTTTGTGCTGGCAGCGCGCCGCCGCTTATTTGAGGCGGTTTTTATCTCCCAGAAACCAGCAAAACCCCAAGCGGAGTCTAGGGAAGATGAAAGGGGCCGAGGGGCCGGGGAGGGGAGGACCGCGAGGCTGGCTGCGGCGGGGCGGGCAGGAGCTGGCACCGGACAGGCGGAGACCGGGAGGGCTCGGCCAGCCAGACCCTGGGGGGTCCCGAGGAGCCCGCCTCGCGGGGTGCGCGGGGAGCGCGTGGGGCCGCGTCCCCTCCCAGCCCAGCTCCGTGGCGCCCTCGCCCCTCCTCACCCCGCCGCAGCCCCTCTCGCCCCACGTCTCTTCCACCACATCCCCACCCCCCGACCCCAGCCCGCTGCAGAAGCCCTCGGAACATCGGTGGCTTCAAAGCGCCTTTGAAGCCCCGCGCGCCCCGCCCGAGGGCAGGAGAGTTCGCACCTGGACGGGGGCCGGAGTGGCGGCAGCACCGAGTGGGGAAGGGGCCTGCTCGCAGCCTGAGTTCGCCCATCATCGCCACTATCATCACCCACCCACTCCCCAAACTTCCACGAGCCCCAGCGCCTCTCAAAAGCTCCGACGGAGAAGTGGGCCGTGTGACACTCACAGGGAGCTGCAGACCCAGGCCTGGGGTGGGGGACAGTGGCCCAAGCGCCCCACCTCAAGCCCAGCGGGGGAGCCCTGGGGAGTGAGGGGGCAGTGGGGGCTGCACAAAGCCCTATTGTGGCGTGGGGACAGCGGCCACAGAGTGGCTTTTGTTCCTCCACTAACTCTAGCTTCTGTGGCGAGCAGGACTGATTGCAAGGCCCCGGGTAGGGGGGCAGGGTACGTGCCAGGCTGGGGCCGCCAGCTTGAGAACCTCATCGCGAGCCGGGCCGGGTCCCCGCGCATCATCCTTGGCCGAACAGCGGTGCTTCTGCGGGCTCAGGATGGCCGCACTGGTCTGGCCCAGGTTGGTTGTTGCAAAAAGGGCCCTAGAAGATCGAGCGGACAGTGCTAGATGTGCATAGCCCACCAGCCATTTTACCAGGAGTGTTAATGTGCAAATACACACCATGATGAAGTATCCCACCGGATTGCCAGGACCAAACCCACCCTTCCTCGTTCTTTTTACCAAGCACAGACATTTCAAACCAAATTTTTATTTATTAAATTAAAAAAAGAGAGAGAGAGACTCCATAAGGGTGTGATCCACATTACCCTCTCCCCAAGCTCTAGCGGCTTTAACCCTTGAACTTGGGGCCTTGAGGGAGCAGGGGATGGAAAAGGAGGATCCGACGTCACAGGAAAGGCACTGGAAGGCACGAAGCGGCTTGGAAAGTCCTGGAAAGGTGCAGCTGGGAGCAGCAGAGGCCCCGAGCTGGGGGTCCGTGGCTGTGCCCCTCAACCCGCCAAATCAGCTTGAGAACCTCTGGCCGCCTTGCTCTGTAAATTATTCTCTCTCGTGGCTTCTAGGCACCAGGCCTTGCCCAGAGGAGGCAGTGAATAAATACTTGATTTACCAGAGAAAGCCTTCCCCACCCACCACCAGCCCAGTCAGGTGGGCTTCTTCCTCAAACAGCAGGTGTCTAAGGGGGAGGGGCCGCAAGCTCTCCTTAACCATGGCAACAAGGGATTAACCTGATGGGGTCAAAGGGTCTGAGGCCAGGGGACAGGAAGAGCCTCTGCTTGGGACCCAAGAGCTGGACTGCATTCCAATCTTTCTTCCCCTACCTAGGACCCGAGGGTTCACAGCTTCTGGCAGGGCTGGGAGAACCTAGGGTTGCCTTAATGTGGAGATAGCCTGTAAGTTCTAGAATGAAGGTCTCCTAAACCAACTCCATTGGTAGAGACCCTGTTAACGGAGAAACCCCGACCTGTGGGCTCCTGGTGATAGGAATTCTGCAAACAAGTTTTCCACTAACACTGTTTCTGAACTCAGACGTGTTTGGCTAGAATTTCCTTAGCAGAAATGGATCCTCTTCCCTCCCCCAGCTTACCCTACCTGACCCGTCATAACTTAGATAAATAGAATTATTATTATTACTATTCATTACTCCTGGTGCACAGGGGTTAGATATACAGGTCTGGGGGCAGTCTCCCGGGACCCCGGCAGTGGGGGAAGGGGCCACTCCATCTTTGGGATCCGATCTGGTCTGCCCCCTTTTTGGTACCCTGTTCCCAGCCAGGTCATTCACCCCAGTCCCCCATCTCTGGTCCCTAAATGCATAGGCCACCAGGGGGCAATAAATTATCATCATCATTATCATCATCGTCATCATCATGTTTGTAAAAAGGAGAAAGCTCTGGAGAGTGCAAAGCAGTAGAGTTGGAAGTTAGGAATATAGGGGCCTGGAAGCTGAGGATAGGAGTAAGTTAGCTTGCGAAACAGTAGGAGTTAGTGAGATGGAGAAGCAGGTGTTGGGAGTCCAGAAAGAGGAAAAGGGACAGAGAAGTTGTGAGCAGGGGCCGAGAATTGCTTAGCAATCAGGAACAAGGCGAGGGCCTGAGCTGAGACTTTGCTAAGAGTGAACTGAGGAGGCGTGCAGGGGAGATGCTGGTGGACCCTGGAATAGACCCAAGTCCAGCATGCAGCTGGTGAAGGGAGGGAGGGGCAAGCCAAGCAAAGCTGGCTAGAGCAGCCTCAGGGGATGGAGACCCTGCCCCACCCTGGCTCAGATCTCAAGCAGGTTACTCTGCTCTGGGCTGCTCCCAGGGGCTTTTTCTGGGGGCGCAGGCGAGGAAGCAGAAGGTCTGGGTGTCTGACTGGCCTCCTCTTCCCCCGCGGTGCGGCCCTCCCCTAGCTCCTTGGGGCCGCTGGCAGTTGGGGGACCTGGGCCAGGCTCTCCGTGGGTGCGCTGGTGTTTGCTCAGGTGGTCACTTCGGGTAAAGCGCTTGGAGCACAGCAGGCAGGTGAACTTCTTCTCCCGCGTGTGGGTACGCACGTGGCGTTCCAGCTCATCGGAGCGGGTGAACCTCTTGCCGCAGAAGAGCCAGTTGCAGACGAAAGGCCTCTCGCCCGTGTGCCAACGCAAGTGGGCCTTCAGGTGGGAGGCCTTGCCGTATACCTTCCCGCAGCCAGGGATGTGACAGCTGTGGATGGGCTTTTTCCGGAGACCGGCTGCTGCTGCCCCGAGCCGCTCCAGCTCCTGGCAGTTAGGGCAGTCGCAGGAGGAACGCCCTGCCCCGCTGCCCCCGTAGCCACCATTGCCCCCTGTGCCTGCACCCCTGGGAGGCTTGGTGCCACCACTGCCCTCCAGCTGCCCACTGTTGCCCACCGCCTTGGGCTTATACACTTCTTGGGGCAAGACATGCTGGGGCCCTGGCTGCAGCAGGTGGGGGGCCGGATAGGGGGCTGGATTAAGGGGTGCAAAGTCGGAGGGGTAAGTGGGCAGCTGGGGGTTCAGTGGAGGCTGAGCAGGACCAGTAGGCAGTGTCCCTTGCAGCCCATCACCCTGGCCCTGCCCACCACCTAGCCAGTTGCCCCCAGGATGCATGTCCCACCAAGGAGTAGGAGCGTTGCCTGCGCCTGGCGAGATGCCCGCGTGGATACCCGCCTTGTACCAGGATCCGTAGGGATGTGCCATGTCCAGAGAAGTGTAGACACTGGGCAGGCAGTCAGGAGAGCTGTGCCCCTTGGGCACCAGGAGCCCGGGGTCTTGGGTGCCCGTGGGCCCAGGGAATGTATGAGAAAAGGACGGGTAGTCATTGGCGTAGCCCGAGGTGGGTGCTGGAGGACTGCCTGCAGGTGACAGGAGCCCATTGGTGCTGGAAAAGGGGGCTGGATAGGCATCCCCCATGGCTTTGGGAGCTGAGAGGTCACTGCCCACAGAGTAGGGCTTCTTGGTGCCCGCTTTGCCCAGCGTGCTTGAGTCCCGCAGAGGGCTGGAGCCACCGAATTTGCTACACGCTGCCGTCAGCATGGCCAGAGGACTGGAGCCATAATGAGCTTCCTCCTGCAGAGAGAGGGAAGCAGGGCTTAGCAGGGAGAAAAGTGGGAAGGCACAACACAGGGCAAAACCAGGACAGAGACCTAGGGGCATGGGGAGCTGAGGAGAGGGTGGGAATACAGCAGCATACAAGGAAGGCCAGCGAAAAGGGGGCATCCAGGCTGAGCTAAGATGCTGCGTTTGTGGGAAGGGAACAGAGGCCTAGGCTTCCAGCCAGTCCTCACCCCCATTGGTTGGAAGTAGGGCTCACTGTGGGGGCCTCTTAGGGGAGTACAGAGGCCTCTAAGGGACAGGCCTTTTTTCAAAAAAATTATCTTATTGATTTGAAAGGCACAGATGCAGAGAGGGAGAGAAAGAAATCTTCTATTCACTGGTTTACTCTCCAAATGGCTGCTACAGTCAGGACTGAAACCATCAACTTCCTCAGGGTCTCCCGTGGGGGTACGAGAGCCCAAGCACTTGGGCCAGTCTCCGCTGCTTTCTCAGGTGCATGAGCAGGGAGCTGGAGCAGAAGTGCAGCAGCCAGGACTAGAATATATATGTTTTTTTAAATGGCCAAGAAAGTAGCTGGGTGAAGGGAAAGAGACAACAGCTGGGGGAAGTGAGAATTGGGATTCTAACTCCACCTGTGAGTGAAACTGGAGCAAACAGAAGCCATAGTCACAGACTTACGGATTAAGATGAGGTTCCCAGAGCAGTCTGGAAGGAAGGCTAAGGGTTATGGAACCACATTTGCCCCCATATCGCCCTATGCCCCATACCCCACTTCTTATCACTGCCTCAGGTCCTGATGAAGCCATGGCCTGGTCTCCCTGAAGTTATGTCCCCATGTCCCTGGAGAAAATCTCTTAGCAGGGACTCTGGGGGCTGGGGAGCAAAGGAAAGCAATGGTGGAGACACTAGGACATTGAGAGGGAACATGGCTGTGGCCAGGTCAGGACTGTGGCTGAGGCAAGAATGTCTTTCAGGCCAGCAATGGCCACCTCCTGCTTTGGGGTGCCAGCTGGGACCCTTTGGACGACCTGGGAGAGCTTGAAGTCTTATAATTTCCCCCAAAACGGGCATTAGGGTGGCCAGGATCCTGCCCCACAGCCACATCCCTTCAGAACCCAGGATCCCCTGATGCACACAGGTCTGGGAGACCTTGCAGGTCTTTTAGACACGCAAAGGTATCTACCCAATGCCCACCATGGTTTTGCTCCCAAGCCAAACCACCCCTGCAGCCCTTGTGGAACCCCTGCCGTGTGGGGCTTGGGACCTCCAAGGATGAGATCCCCTGTAGCGCCCCTGGCTGGCACACATGTGCACTCATTACTGAGAATCCCACCATAAACATGTCCTCCAGAGACAGACCTGTATAGTTCCCTGATTGGGGATCTCAAACAGCAATTGCCTGGTGCCGGCCCAATAAAGCTGGGGAAAGAGCCAAGGGCTCTCAGGGGTGCCTAGGTAGCTCCAAGCATGCTGTATATTCATGTTGTTATTTTTATTTCAAAAACAGAGTTACAACAGAGAAACAAGGAGAGACAGAAAAAAAAGAGATCTTCCATCCACTGATTCACTCCCCCAAATGGCTGCAATGCCAGGAAGCTGAGCTGATCCAAAGCCAAGAGCCAGGAGCTTCTTCTGAGTCTGCTATGTGGGTGCGGGGGGGTGGGGGGGGGGCAAACACTTGGACCATGCTATGTTACTTTGCCAGGTACATTAGCAGGGAGCTAGATGGGAAGTCGAGCAGCCAGGCTCTAGCTGGCACCCATATGGGATGTGAGCCCTACAGGTAGTGGCTTTAACCTTCTGTGCCACATATCTGGCCCCAACATTTATTTCATTTATTCGGAAGGCAGAGAGTGACACACAGAGAAAGACAGGAAGAGAAAGGCTTCTTCCATCTGCTGGTCCGCTCTCCAGGTGGCTGCATTCCATCTGGTTGTAGGGGCTCAAGCTTTTAAATATCCACCACTGTCTTCCTGGGTGCTTTAGCAGGGAACTGGATAGCAAGCAAAGCAACCAGAACTCAAGCTGGTGTTTGTATATGAGAAGGCACTGTTGCAGGAGATGGTGTAACCCGCTACGTCCCAACAGCAGTCCCATAACTGGTATTCTGTTGGAGTGTGTGTGTGTGATCTAACCTAGAAGTGGCTCCAGGAATCTCAAGGTTGCACAGGGAGGGGTGTGTGCAGTCACCCCTTGTGCATTGCTCCCCTGTGCAGAGCTGCTGTCCCCCCTTGCCCAATGACCTCCCTGTGAGGTCCTGCTGACCGCGTGGGCTCCCAGAGTTGAGCCACCAAAAAAGATCTCTTCCAGGCTAGCCACAGGAAACACACAGGGCTCCTCCCAGCAGGGTGGGCTGCAGCAGGATAGAATGGAGGCAAAAATCAAGTCTTTTGGGACAACCACGTTCCATAGGACAGTGTCAGTGTAAATCGCAAATACTGGGTACCCCCATCCCAGCTTCCTGCCCTTGCACTTGGGAGGCAACCAGAATGAAATTCCCGGCTCCTTTTTGGACCTGACCCTGCCTGACACAGGCATTTGGGGTGTGAACTAGCGGGTGGCAGATCTTCTCTTCTGTGTCTCTCCTCTCCTCACTCTGTTACTGCTTCAAATAAATGAAGACATCTTTTAAAAAATAACTAAAATTTAAAAAGGATCCTACACACGGTGAGGAAACACCACTGAAAATGTGCCGGGGTCAGAGAAGAGAGGGCCTAAGGAGGGCAGGACAGAACCAGGCAGGAACTGCCCCCCTCCCAAGAGCGGAAAGGTGAAGAGACAAAAGGGAAAGAGGGAGGAAGAGAGAGAGAGAGATTGAGAAGCAGAATAAACAAAGGAGGCGAGGTGGTGGAAAGAGCCTGGCAAGGAGAGGCAAGGAAAACAGAGGGTAAGATGGGAGGGGAGAGAAAGCAGGAGGAGGAGGAGGTAGGCTGACTTTCTACCTAAGAGAAAAACCAAGGAGCTGCTGGGCCCCAGAAAACCCCCAAACCAGGCTGCTCCTCCCTCCTCTCCCTGCCACCCCCCAGCCACCCTTCCCCCTCTGCCCAGCCCGGCCCGGCTCCGATGGTTTCCCTGCGGTCGGTTTATTTTTAAAAACGCCGACGCCGTCCCCCCGCCCGGCCCTCACACTGTGGCCACAGGGGCCTCCGCCAAGCCCAGGGACCCCACCCAGCTGTGGGGAAGGAAGGGGGTGGTGAAAGAAGGGAGCCAGTTCCAGGCCACCAGGAGACCCCAGCCCTGGGGAGCAGAGGTCCCCCCAGGTCCCCTAAGGGCAGGGAAGAGGGATGCAAAGCAACAGATCCAGGCAGAAGATTCTGGAAGCCCGAGCACGTGGCTGAGTCTCCCCACAGCCTCAGTCTCCTTCTAGTGTAGTTTGCTCTTTCCTAACAGCTGTGTCAAAGAAGGTCCTGGCGGATGATTCCCAGCACAGGCGCCCCTGACCCACCAGCTAAGTTTCGTTTCCAAGCCCTGAGTCCTACCTGCTGGCTGTCCCGTTTCTGTTTCTCCCCCATCTTTTTTTTTTTTTTTTTTTTTTAATTAACAACAAATACTCATGCAGGCTTCAAGTACTGATGGGGAAACTTTGGAGAAAGAACAGGATAAAAGCAGTCCCCTCCCCTACCCAGAGGACAATAAGGGAACCCACCCCCCTTCTTTACCATGCCACAGAGAGCCCAGTGCCATGGTAAGCTTGGCTTCTGCTAGAAACCCTTGCTGTGCATCTGGGCGTAGAATGGCCTTGCCCAGGAGGCACCCAATTCCCAACTCTCTTAGCCCCAACTCCCTGCTCCCCACATTGTCCATTCCCACCTAGTTGCTGCCCCCATTTCCACCCCCCTTTCTCCCTGAGCCTTTGCATCACACTTGACCTAGGGAAGCCTCCCATTAAACAGTAGCTTCTTCCCTCCCTGAACTCCAATTACTTCTCAATGCTGGGAAGCTCTTACCCTTACCAGGCAGAGACCTCTGGGAGGGCAGAGAGAAGGCTGAGTTCTCAGGCACCCCTAAAACTAAGTGAAAGATCAGATGGAGGACCTTGATGGCCTCTGTGGGGGGGAGGGGCGCGAAAGCCCAGCATCTGTGATCCATCCCTCCTATCAAGCATTACCCCAATTCCATGTCTTGCCAGCAGGCCTCTGGACCAGCCCCTCCCCTAGGCACCAGCGCCACGCTGGCAGGACTGGCGTGCTGCCTACGCCCACTGACACTGCCCCGGCCCTGGGTGGACCCTGGGTATCCACACACTTGATGCCTCCAATGGCCTCAAGACCACAGTGTTTGGTCTTGATTGATGGCTCTTTCTCTGGAGAGTCCCAGGGAGGTGGCAAGACACCACCCTGCTCCCCAATGCAGCTTGGGGAGCAAGTAAAGCATCTGGGGACCCTTGACCATGCAGACAACACGACGACAAGGAACCTGGGGGGTCCATGCCACAGGCTTGCGGTTCCATTCCACTGAAACTCAACCTAAGTCACTCTCTCACAGCCCAGCATGCATTTGGACTAAAGCATTCAACTGGCTGGCTCACATATATATACTCCCACCCCCAAAAGCAGTCGCATGCAGGTGCCCTGGCTGGCATGGGAACACTTACATGCAGGCCAGTACACACAGGTGATCAAGACCCCTGCTCCCCCTCACACACGTATCCTTACAGGTGGAACAAGCCAGCTTCCCAGCTGGGACATCACCCGTCTTGGAACCCAAGCACTGGCACCAATATCAGAGATGGGGGTCCAAAGGCCTCAAGATTTGGGAAGATCCGAGGCGCTTAGGAGGAATGTGACTTTCAATGGGGATTCTCCACCCAAATTCCTGTAGCTGCAACAGGGAGCCGGAAAGCAGGAATCAGAGACCCAGAAGCAGAGAGAACTCTCGGTCACCCCTTCTTAACTAGGAACCTTGGGTCCTGTCACCCCACCCCACCCTCCAGATAGAGTCAGTGATTTCCCCTGAACCCAAATGACAGGACAGCACCCCAGCTCCCTCTCTCTAGTGCCAGAGGCATGGATGCTGGGGTCCCAGCCTGAGGGGAAGTGGCCCAGTCGGCCCTGGAGCCTCCCACTCCCAAAATAGAGCTGAGTTTGTCTTTGGCTGAAAGCTAAATATTTGTGAGCCGGGCTGGCGGCCTCAGACCCTGTCCCTCCTCCTTGGTTCTCTCTCAGGCCTGGGCTCCATTCCTCTGGCCAGCAAAACCCCCACACACACCAAACACACACACACACACACACACACACACACCCCACAGGCATACAGAGAGTTGCTCTCCTCCTCCTCTCCTTTGAAGCCTTCCACACATAGGTTGAGTTCTGTCACCCCATGTCAGGCACAATATTGCTTAGGTAGGAGTCCCAGAACACAGGACCGGCTAAAGAACTGTATCCAGTTGCTATTCTGTGGCGGTCCAGCAGGTCCTCTCTCTACCACAACTTCTTACCATTCTGTTCCCAAATGAGGTGCCTTGCATCTCTCGCCACTCACTTGGCCCCTGCCGGCTAGCTGGTTTCCCCACTCCTCACAGCTGGAATTCCTGGCCAACCTTAGGAATTCACGCTTTCTTTGGACCCCTTCTACTCCTTTGCCCCTTGCCCTGTTTTGCCTCCTGTCCTGTCTCCTCCCCTCATCCTCCAGAGACCTCCTCCCCCACCAACACCACTCCTCTCTCCTCCTCAGAAGAACTCTCTTGTGGCTATGACAAGCACCGTAGTTCTGTCTGTCCCTGTGAGTTGGGGTAGAGGTGGAAATGGCAGGCTTAGGACCATGAAGAGTGTGGCTGGTTTTCCGGGGGGGCGGGGACAGGAGGTGGCAGGCGGCAGCAGGGGTGAGGGGCAGTTACCTCAAGCAGGGAGGACGCCATCGCGAGGCTGGAGTCCCAGGGAGCCAGGCAGATGGAGAGAGCCGAGTCGGAGAGAGGGAAAGGGGAGAGGGAGGGCGAATGGGAGAGAAGAGATCTAAAGTTAGAAGGGACTGGAGGGTGGGGGGTGGGGGGGTTGCTCTCTGTCTGTAGGGATCCACCCTCTAATTACAGCTTTCCCACTGGAGAAGGCTCCGGATCCAATGAGGAGGACGAAAGAGGGAGGCAGAGGGTCCAAATTTCCTGCTTCATTTGCTGAGCTCCCCAAAGAAGGGATCTGGGAGGGAGATGGGGGGTACTGCTTGGGAGGGGAAGGAGTAGGGGGCACCCAGGGCTAGGGTGAGGAAGGAGCAGGGTGTGCACCGGCAAGTTGTCAGGACTTCCCCGGAGGGAGGGGAAAGGGTGAGGGATGGAGGAGCCAGGTGTCCCACAGCCCACCACGTCCCACGCTTCCCCAGCCACTGAGGAGAGTACCTGGGGATCCTGAGGCTAGCTGTCCCGGTCGGTCCTCACTGGAGGGCTGGCAGGGAGCGTGCGGACAACCGGTGGCCAGCAGATTTGGTGGGGGGTGGTGGGGAAGGATCAGCTCCTGTCCCAGGCCGGCCACACTCCTCTTCCCGCGCAGGTCCGATCCCGCAGTCTTACTCCAGGGTCCTCGCAGCTGTGCTGCTCACGGTGGCGGTGGCAGCGACGGGGGCTGCTTCTGCTGCTGCTGCTGCTGCTGCTGCTACTGCTGAGGCTGCCGCGCGCCCGCCCGCTCGCCGCTGCTGCTGAGGGAAGGAACAGGAGGGAAAAGGAACAAACCCCAAACCACTAATTAGAGATCCAAGGGGGGGAGGGATGGGGGATTGGGGACGACACTCACACAGAGAGACCGGGAACACACTGACAGACACATTCAGGGCCAAAGGCAGGACCCTGCGTGGACACGCTGGCTCGGGACTACCCACATGGGTACCACCGCCACTGTCATGACTGAATACGGTGACCCGGCCGGGGGAGGCGGCACACACACACGCACACACACACACACACACACGGGCTGACCACAGAGGTGCTTTTCCAGAGCAAGTGTGCATGAGTGTGTATGTGTGTGAGTGTACATGAATGTGTGTACTGTGTTTGTGCGTGTGTAAGTTATGCACATGTGCACATATATTTGTGCTGCATAAACATGTGTATAGATGTAAGTGCACACGTTTATATAAAATACATGCATGTGAGCAAATATGTAGGCGTGTGCATGTGTGTTTCATATACATGTACATGTGCTTTGTGTATGTGTGTGCATGTGTGTGGAGTGTGTGGAGTGGGGCTAGGGTGAGGGTGTGCTCTGCCTTGGAAGCTTCTGCAGCCTCCACATTTAGGGTCACTGAGGCAACTTCAGGAGCACTGCCTGGAAGAAGGCCTGGGGAGTGGGGCTTGGCGCAGGCCTGAGAGCTGGGAGAGATCCCCCAGTCTTCCTCCTTCTAATACCCAACCAGGAAGTGTTACCCAGGTTCACCTCACACAGGAGTGCAAGGGTGGGACAGAAGCTGGGGACGGTGAGAGGTGGGCAAGCTCACTGTGGAGGGGACAGGCCACCAAGACTATACCTCCTCACTCCAACCAACGTGGCTCCTGGGGATTAATCCAGCCACCATCCCTATGTGTCCTCCCCTCAACAGAGTCCCCACTCTTTAATGGATTGCTCCCCCCCATGGGAGGGGGTCCCTGGCTCCCTTCCTCATCCTCATGACCAGAAGAAAGAGTGAAGTTAGAGCCCGCAGGGAACTTCCCATCACCAGACCAGCTGGGAGAGGGAAACCCAGATCTATTCCCTGGGGCTAGATGCCAGGGGCGGGAATGGGGGGGGCTGGGATGCCCAGTAAGAAAACCAGCATCCCTCTCACCAAGGCGCCAGGCAGGCAGCCCCATTGTCTTGTAAATGACTCCCTCAGGGACCCCCTCTACCCCCTCCTCACCAATCAGAGAACTAAAAAGCCCAGTCCTTCCCCTGGCCCAGCACAGCCCCTCTCCCTTCCCCTGCCCACTTCCTGCTCCCCTGGCTCTCCCGGCTCTCCCAGCACAGCCGAAGGAGTGCATGGGGGTCCCAGGAGAGTGCCCAATTGGGGGCTCGCTCGAGGCAGGAGCCAAGACCTGAGTAGAACTCAAGAATTTGGGATTCCACTAGTCTGATTTGATTTTCCACCCCCACCTCCAAGGCCACTCCTACCCTCACCCAAGGAACCCAGGGAGTCCGATTGTGGTGGACAAGGCTAAGGAACCGGATGAAAGCTCCAGCGAGACGTGGCTCACAGGGTGTAAAAAAAAAGGGGCACCAAGAAAATGCAAGACCTGTTGTATGGTTTTTTAAAAGAAAGAAAAGGAGCAAGGCCAGAGGAACAAAGATGGGAAGACAATGGCTTCGGACAAGGAAAACAGCCTGAGGCATGGCCAGGTCCAGGGGGAGGAGGAGGTGAAGGGTTCCGCGTGGGCAGGTGGGGGTGGGGCGGGGCTGGAGTATAAATAGAACATAATTGTGTCCGATGATTACACGGGCCACCCCACCCGTCTGCCCAGGAGGAAGTGCACGTGGTGGGGTGTCCCTGTGACCCTGCAGGCTCCCCTGGGCTGCAGGGGTGGTGGGCAGGGTTGGGAGTGGTCAGGAGCCTGAAATGCCAGCTGGATTTCTGGGGACCCCCTTCCCCTATGCACACACCAACTCAGAGGTTGAGAAGAAAACTGATTCTATGGGGCCCAACACGATAGCCTAGCGGCAGGTCCCAGGATCTCATATGGGCACCAGTTCTAATCCTGGCAGCCCTGCTTCCCATCCAGCTCTCTGCCTGTGGCCTGGGAAGGCAGTCAAGAACAGCCCAAAGCCTTGGGACCCTGTATTGCACTCGCATAGGAGACCTGGAGGAAGCCGCTGGCCCCTGGCTTCGGATTGGTTCAGCTTTGGCTATGGCGGCCACTTAGCGAGTGAATCAGTGGACAGAAGATCTGTCTCTCTTGTCTCTCCTCTCTGTATATCTGACTTTCCAATTAAAAAAATAAATAAATCTTTAAAAAAAAAAAAGGAAAGAAAGAAAAGGAAAAAGAAAAGTGATTCTATAGCCATAGTAGGAACTGAGGCAAGGGAAAAAAATCTAGACTCGGAGGGAAGAGCAGCAGGTGAAAGAGGGAATTGGGGTTCTCATGGAAGACGCCAGGAAGAAGGGATGGAGAGTGGCAATGGGTTGCGGAGACAGAAGGAGAAGCTTAATGTATGTGGAGGGCCAGGGCTGAGGGAAGAGGAGGAAGAGGGGGGTCAGCCTTGTCCACTCTTTCAGCTGGCTTAATTCCTGTTCCTCCCTGTGAACTGGCAGAAATGCGCAAAGAGCACTAGGGGCAGAGGACTAAGAATTGGGGTCCCTAATGATGTGTCAGCCTCCTCAGGACAGCCCCCTGGACACAGGTGAACGGCCCCAGGGCTGCCAAAGCTCCAGGCCAGCAGTGGGCAAATGGACTGAGGTTCCCACTGGCCCCTCTGCCGTTGCTACCTCAGACTCTAGATGCCGACCAACCTCTTCCTCACCATTTTTCGTAACAGGATGGTTCTGTCCTCAGATCCCTGGGTCCTCCTGCTCCTCGGTGCCCACAAGGGCTGTCAAGGGTGAGGGTGGGCAAAGAAGAGGATGCAACTGGAAGTCCCTACCCAGGACCCACCTCCACCCCTGCAGGCCTCCCTCGCGGCCGAGCCTCCCAGGGGGTGGGGCAGCCCCGGCAGAGGCGCCATGTGGCAGGGGCGGGTAGAGGCTGCGGCTCTGGTCCTTCCAGGATAAACCCCCTAGGCATCTGGTTTCTATCCACCCCCCACCACCCTGGGGGCCCCTCAGCCTCCGCCCATGGCCACCCAGACGCTGAGCTCTGAGGGAGAGAAAGACAGAGAGAGAGATAGACGCCCCTGAAGGAAGGGGTGGGATGGGGCCTTTTTCTGATCTCCCAATGCCAGCCCTAGGCTGAACCACAGGGACCACGCCCTCCGTTGCCTCCCCTGAGGACAATCTGGGTGGGCTTGCCAGGGTCCAGGCCTGGACTCTGGAGCCTGCCCTTGCTCTCTGAAAGTTCAGCGCAGGCTGGGGAAAGAGGAAGAACAGGGGAGAGAATAGGGTGCCTCATTCTCTGTCCAACCCTGAAGGAAGCCACCTTCTTCCACACCCATTGCCCTCTACTCGCCCTGGCAAGCTAAGCTTCCTCTGAGAGCCCTGATCCAGAGCGACTCCCGGCCCCTTCCCTTGTCACCCCTGGAGAAGGTTTAGCTGCCAGAGACAATCACCAGTGAGGAATGAGCCGAGCCCCTGACATGCAGACATTAACATGTGCTCCACTAGGGACCTGATGACGCATGCTCAGAGGCACACACTCTACACACAAGCCTAGTGGTGCTTCTCATGCACATAGGTGTACTATGCCAGCACCCACATCCACACATACACATCTATATGCTGTGCCGGCACCCTCGCTGACACACACGCACATGTACATGCCTTCTGCAGATGATGCTTATGTCAAGACATTCCAACCCCCAGTCACACACACACACACACACACACACACACACACACACACACACCAGAACACAAAAAGAGGAGCTTCAAGAAGTTCGTGGAAAAGGCATGTCATGAAAAAAATAAATAATAATGTGAGGATTTCAGGCTTTTTTTTTTTCCAGAACAATACATTTTATCTTTGAATTCCCCTTCTCCATGATCCCATTGCAGTGTGTTATCTGTGCACAAGGACTCACAGTCCCCTAGAAGGCGCCCCATGTAGGTGGCACAGACTCTTCACGTATACACCTAAGGCAAACATCACATGGGCACGCACAGTCGCTGAGCTCCATGACCAGGCAACTCAGGCAACCCCTGAGGTTTCCTGGGGTGTGTGTGTGGGGGGGTGCATTTCAGTACCCTTCTCCCTACAAGAACCTGATGAGGAGGGTACTGGGAGGGGAAAGTTTGAGTTCTACCAGCTGCTGCCTCCAGCTGCTACTAGTGTAG